ATTTTCGGATCAAGTCAATACCCGATCGGGTAAATGCTTTACCCGACCGGGGTAAATGACTATTTTTCCAAATTTTCCCTTGATCTTGTTACCTTGCACTTTCCTTGAGCTTTCCAAGGATCCTTTTGATGATTTTTACCTAGTTAAAGCTCAGAATAATCCTAATCTAAACAAATTACAAACAAAATAGGAAAAATAAAGTCTTACACCAAAAGTGTGTAATTTCCCAAACAACAACAAATAAAACTAGTTAAAGTTACACACATAAACCATAACAATTCTATACTATCACCCATCATAATCTGGAGTCCAAAACATCACATCTGAGCTAGATTTCTACATCAACACTTCACCACAATCCACCCCGCAAATCAACCTTCCTCCCCTATACGAAATGTTCCAAAACGTTTCTGCTGCTCCCGAAACTACCTTTCAAAATCTAATCTATGGTATGCAAGGAGCAGGTCAGAACGTTCCCATTTTTCAACTGAGACAGAATCCATTCCAAAATCAGCCACAATATCAGCCACAACATCCTATCCCGAACCAGTACCGCCCTCAACCCCAAGTGCAACCCATTCAGCAACAACCAGCTTATCAGGCCAAGCAGCAACAAGCCCCTCCAGCATATGTCCCGCACCATAACCCCCCTTTACCAAGGGCAGCCCATTGCAGAGTTCCTCACGCCGGATATTTCTGAGTATGACAACATTCAAGTGCCAGGAATGATAAATATGGTGTCTAACAACCAGTTTGGAAGAGGACCGAATGAAGATCCAGTGACACACATTACTCGCTTTCTGAGAATGTGCCAGACATTCAAGATCCCTGGAGTAGCTGATGATCAGGTGCGGATGATGCTTTCCCCTTCTCACTAAGGGATGATGCACAGAGGCGGTTGAGCAGCAATCCTCACCACCACCTCCAGACTTGGGACTAGCTGCATAGTGCATTATCAAAGAATACTTCCCGACATCAAATGCACTAAAGTTGAAGCAGCTGCAAGAGTTCAAGCAAGGTTCATTGGAGACTCTAGCGGAAGCATGGAAGAGGTTCAAGGTGCTAAGAAGAGCTCGCCCTCAAGAAAAGATGAGTACTTGTGAGATCTTGTTTTTCTTTTACAGTGGCATCAACAATGAAGGGAAGATAATTTTAGATGCTTCTGCAAATGGATCTTTTCCTGATCTACAAGATGAAGATGCAGAAGCACTAATTGAGAAGATAGCAGCCAACAATGCCTCCTGGCACAATTCACGAAGTTCACCTCAACAAAAAGCTTCAGGCCTTTACGAGATCAATGATAATTTTTCCCTTTCTGCATGGGTAGATACTTTGGCAAGCATGATGCAAAGGCTCATGGCCAGCGTGGATGACCTAGGGGAGAAGGGAGGGGGGCGCAAGCCATGCGTCTGAGGTAAAATTTCGGAGAACCCACTGACAGCCACGCACGGCCGTGCGTGGCAAATTTTTGCACGCAGTTGCTCCGGACGCACTGGGGGACGCACGCAGTGCGTGGGTGCCGTGCGTGAGCTCCCGATGTCCTTTTTCGACAGAATCTTTTTTCTATTTAAGCAGTCTGTAAATCCCGTTTTCAGGGGGGCATAGAGAGAGTGTCTAGCACGAAATTTAGAGAGCTTTTCAGCGTTGTTCATCAATATTTTGGGATTCTTTGTAAGTTCCATCTTTTTAATTAATGACAATTAATTCTTTCTTTCCCAATTCTATTGATTATTCAATTATGATTTGTGAGTAGTTTTAATTAGAGATTTGTGATTGATGAAGGAGTTATTCATGATGTATGGCTAGTTTCTTTATGGTTTAACTTGCATGAATCTTTATTTAATTCGTGTATGAATGATTTAATAGATATCTCTTGTAACCTAAAATGGCCACTAGAATTACAATTGCATGTAGAATAAATTAAGAGAGATCTAATTTATTCTAGCACACTTTCATACACACTTAATCGTCCGCTAAGAGATTAGTAGCGATTAAGGGGTCGTACGCTGGCTCATTTTGGCAATAATTTTAGATAGCTGTCGCATGAGAGATCAACCAGGTTCCCTAAATTATTGTACTCTACGTCGCGAGAGCGGTTAGAATTTAGTATTGATTAGCGTTGCTCAATTAAATAATTTTCATGTGAGTAAGCCTGATCTGCCAGAAGTCTGAGTACCCCAGAATCAATCATTGTTCCCTTTGTCGTTAATTAAGAAGAAACCAATTTATTTTATTCGCTGCTTGCTTTTTAATTTAATTTTCCAATCATTCAATCTCGCACAATTGTTTTTTGTTTTATTTTCTTTTTATTGCTGAATTTAGTTAATTCTTAATTCCCTTTTATCTGTCCCTGTGGAGACGATACTCATACTTCAACCCTTTACTACAATCATTTTTAAGTGCGAGAAAACTTACATCATTTGTATTAAATAATCAAACCAAACGATGTAAATATTTTACGTCCCTCCATTTCGCATGCAAAGTAATTATTTTACATCCTACCAAACACGTAATTATTTTACATCCTACTAAACACAGAGCCGGCTTTGGTGGGAGTTACCCTAGGCAATTACCTAGGGCCTCCACTCCTAAAGGGGCCTCAATTTTTAATTTTCTTTTGTAAAATTATATATATATATAAATAATTAAATAAATAAGTACTAATGAAATTAATAATGACATAAATGAAAATTAATATGTACTACCTTTGAAAGTTAACTTTTTAAACTAAGTGATTTGTAATGATTTTTTTTTGAAATAATTACATATTTATGACTAAAATGAAAGTTGTTTACAAAAATGTTACTAGTAATTATAGTACTAACATAATCATAATAACTTATGTTCAATTTTTAAGCTTAGGTGGCCATGACACTGTAATGTAGTAACTATTAGTCATAATTGTGTAAAAAAGTTTTAGTTTAGTAATATTTAGAAAAAACTCTAAATTTTTTAGGCACATGATCGAATAGGTCTTAGTTTATGTTTAAAAATTAATTACAATTGATATTTTCATTAATTAATACAATAGCACCTAAATAATGCTACATAGTTATAAAATTTATCTCTATGTTTTCATTAATTAAAAAGGAAGTGATTTACAATGTACTAAAGTTATTGTAATTGATTATAAAAAGTTCATTTCTATGAAACTAGTTGAAACTAATCTTTTTTTAAACTTCAAAGCAATATTGTATTATTTATTCTTATTCATGTGTGTTCATTGTTTAGAAATGCAATTTCATATAGACTATAAACAAATAGGTAATATTTTTTATTGAAGAAAGAGATATTTTAAGTACATATAAAACTATTATCTTCATCCCACAAAATATGGCCAAATTGACTTTTTGATCAATGATAGTCAATTTTGGATAACTCCAATGACTTTAGTTATTATATTTATGTAAAATTTATAAATTTTCTATTTTTATGAAAGTAATTTTAAGAAAGACTTTTTTCATATTTTTGGATTTTAATAATCCAAAAATACTCTCCCAGTCTCTCAAAACTTTGCCAAGTTTGACCGGTACAGACAGTAATAAAGTAAAAAATGTGTGGCTGAGGTTGGGGTAAAGGAGAGAGAAATGACTAGAACCACAAATTGATTGATTAAAAGAGAATATGATAAAGTTTTTAGGACTCAAAAAAGTAAATATGACAAAGCTTTAAAAGACAGAGAGAGTATCATGGATCAAGGCTATCATTGACTAAGAAATTTCGAAATATTTTCGGCATGAGGGAGAATATGTTGTGTAACTATTTTGCTTATTTTTTTGTTCAATTATTGTGGTGCTCTTTTGCCTAGGGCCACAAATTGACTGAGGCCGGCCCTGACTAAACACGCTCTAACATTGAAGATATTACATGGGCGCCTTTTTTAAAGTAACAAAGTTATCATGAATTTCACGGTTTTGGGTGATTTCAGAATTAAATTGGTGATATTTGTATAGAAATTACTTAATATATGATCAATACACCCTCAAAGTGTAAAATAGAACAAAATAAGCTAAGGTTTATCTAGCAAATATGACTTATTTAGTCTTATTAAAAGAATAAGTTGATAAAAAAAATTCAAAGTATAAATGAGTGACTCCTATTTTGATAATAACACAATTATAATCCTATTTTGTTTTAGTCCCATTAAAAGATTTTTCTCACATCTGTAAGGATGTACTTGAATTGCCAAAGTAATGACAGCTTGACCAGTTTTGCCAACTAGTGTGCACTCAGGGAACAAAAATGCATTTTAGCCAAGATGGTTCTGTACCATTGAAGAATCCAAATCATGAGCAAGGGTATATAGTTTATTAGTCAACTTGTCCCATTCTATTATGTTATTTTGTACAGTAAAAACTTTTGGGCCACCGAAATATGTCTCTTTTCCTAATAAAAAATTAAGAGTAAACAGGTACTTCATGCAATCTATATTTTTTAGCATTTAATAAGAAAGTTATACAGTATGAGAGAGTAATACATTATGTCTCAAAATACCCTAAATTGTACCGACCGTACTTCCTCCGACCCGTTAAGATTATTCCGTTTTTTCTTCTCGTAACATTCCACTAAAATTCTCTTATATCAAATTCGGTAAAATTTGTATGGTTCTATATCATTTTTATTTTATTCTTACTTTATCAATTCAATATCTACCACATAAATACATTCTTAATTTATTTAAACATAATTATATGAATCACTTCCTTGAACTTGAAGCAATGTCTTAATATAATAGGCTCTTTGTTCTTTTTTAGTTGAAATGGTTCAATTATGTCAACACACAAGTTTGATCACTAATAAATTCCATTCGTTATAAGTAAAAAGTAAAAAAATTAGATTTTGAAAATTAAAATGAAAAGAATTTAACTATATTTTCAAATTTTTTATTTATTCCTTAATATGTTAATAATTAAAATATAGTCAAAATAGAGTTGTAAATAGTGTAAAATTAATCAATATAAAAAAAATTAATCAATATTACAACTAAAAATGAATGGAAGTGGGTACTAACTAATTAATAGCGCTGGAAATTAAAGGCAAGTCTTGAGGATTATAAGCAATATGAGCATATGGTTTTATTTTGCTGCTCTGATTTGTATTAAAGCTAGAACTCCTAGCTTGTTTTTATTTTGGCTACACATGTAATAATATACTCTTTCAGAGTTTGATAAAATAAAAAAAGCAACTGATGATCCTAACAGGGAGGGCATTACATCATTATTTTTACTTTATTGTTGTAAGTTTTATTTTGTTTTATTTTTATATTATGTTAGTAAATAGGGGTTATATATTAATCTATTAATTAATTAGTGTTTAATTCGCCTGGATTGAGGAATGCATGGCTTGGATCAATTGGAACGGCCAGCGATGAGGTTGGGGCGATGAAGTAAAGAGCTTCTTCTGCCATCTTTACAGGCGCCGTTCAACATCGCCGGCGGCATCTTCTTGTCGTTGATTCTTCTCAACAGCCCCAATCTGTCTCTCTTCCTCTGCTCCTCCATTGATACAAATATGTTGTTATTGTTGTCGTTATCGTTAAGCTTCTGGATGAGATGCTCGGCTGCTCCGTCTTTACTCGGAGTAGCCGGTTTCGGTCGCCAGAAGTAATCGTAGTCATTGACGAATGTGACGCTTACCACCGGCGGGTTTTCCCGGACCAGTCCGGCCACCCCGGGCGCCGGTGGCAGAGACCGTGAATGGGCTTGGTTTACAATGAGATCCTCCATCAATGCTCTGTTTTTCTTGAAAATTAGCCCCGGGAATCGCATTGGCGGCGGGCATCTCCGGCCGGAAAAGCTCGAATCTTGCTCCGCCGGAATACCCATTCCGTTCCTGTCATCTCCTTGCTCTTCTTTATCACCATCATCGCCCTCTTCTTCTTCATCTTCGTCATTCCGACCTTCAGCTTCTTCGAAATTGAACACGAACTCTGGCTCTTCTTCTTTCGGCTTTCCATTGCCAGACCCGCTGTTGATGAGGGAGATGAAAAGCCGGCCGTTGCTTCTTTCAGCCCGGAGATGCTCCCGAGGAGGGACGGAAACAGCTTCAACAATCAGCCGGCCGTCCTCCCGGCGGGTGCGAACTTGGACTGTAGTCTTGTTCATATCCAGTGAAGGCAGGGGAGGTGGCAGAGGTCTGGGAGCAGATCTCTTCATATACATGTTCATCAATGGCGGCTTCTTCCTATTCGTTGGGAGAGGCGGCAGATCAGACTGGAAGTCCTCGGCGCCGGTCTCGGAACCCAGAATCTCAGTGCACAAAAACAGGCTTTTGGCGCTCAACTTCTTCGGCTGTTTCTTAGGTTGAATGTAAGGAGCAAACACATCTCTTCTCAGAGATGAATCCAAGATTGAGCTAAAAGATTCAGTGGATGAAGCGCTCGGCAATGCCGCTGCTCGGGTTATAGTCTTCGGCGGCCCCCGATGAAGATCATCGCTCCCATGATTGATCAGTCTCTTCTCTTGGATAGCTCTCCAGACCTCATCTTGCCCGGGCCGGTCGCTGACGGAGGAAGAACGGCGTTCTTCCTCCGGGGCGAACCCGGTCTGGGATGCCCATTTCTTGGATGACATGTCAGCGGAGAGAGTCCTTCTAATGGAGGGTGCGGAGCTCCCTCCTTGATCATCATTCTCGGGTGCAAGAATGGAGCTGATGCCCTGTTTCAGCTTCTTCGCGGGCGGAGGCAGAGGCGGCGGCGGACATGGCTGTGCAGCCACCTGGAGTTCAGGGTTCACTGAGGTGGAACTCTGGGTCATGATTACACAGGCGTGTGGAGGCATCTTGATTTAACAAAAGAGGATATAAATTAGCTTTTTTGATCAAGTTCCAAAGCCAATTTTAGAAAGAAAGAGAGAAAAGGTTACTTCAAGTCTTCAGACAAGAACAACGTGGAGCATCCAGAAGAGTACGTACGTTGGTTGGGTGGCTGGCTGGCTGGCTTGCTGGCTGGCTGATTATTATATTATTATTATAATAATATTGAAAGATTATATGCTAAATAAGCTTATGAATATAATATGATGATGTTGAAGATCAGCTCTGGTGACTGGCCTTGCTTGCTAGCTCTGGTGCTGGGTGAAGTATGAGGTAAGTGGTGGGGGGTATTTGTAGGAAGGCCAGTATGACGACTGTATATGGACACCAGATGCTCTCCAAAAGCTCACCGCGTCTATTTGGACTTATAATTGAATCTTACATACTCCCAAAAGATAACAAATGAATACTACCCACAAATAATTGTAAATATCTATTCCCCAAAAAATAATTGTAAATATCTAGAAGCCCGTACGGGTAGCTCATGTGTGCTGAGCTGGACATCTGGTGACACGAGTAGAAGGTCTACCACCATTGAGCTGACTAGGTCACCGCGACTTACATCCTCCCAAATGCCTTGTCGGATCAGAGTATGGGGGCCTTGGGATCGGTGATTCAAACTTTTGCAACACCGTAAATATTTGCAATGCATTTTGTAGACGGAGATTATTACGTAGTATTTCATTTTCTATTTATATTTAAATCATTCAATTACCTTATCTGTCTCTTGAAACTTGGTCAAATTTGATCGGCACGGGGATTAATAAAATAAAAAATGTGTGGGTGAAGTTTGTACAGAGAAGAGTGAATTAATTTGAACCACAAATTCTTTACTAAAAAAGAAATGACAAAATTAGTGGGACAGCCAAAAATGGAAAATTGACAAAGTTTTAAGGGACGGAGAGACTACAATGTTTTAATTGGTCTAGCATGTGAAATATAGTATCTTGAGGTTACAACATAATTTGTCAATATTGTCATTCTTCTAAGTAGGTAAGATATACAATATTTTAACCAAAGTTTTATGGTTCAATCTAATCTGATCAAGTCTTATCTGGAATAGTCTTGTTCGTTTTTATACAGTCCATTTTATGTGTATGTTACTATTATCTAAGAATGTTTCTCTTTCATTCTAGTGTAGTTTAATCTATTTAAATCTGGTCTGTTTAGATCTAGTCTAGTCTATGTACTACTGGTTTGGTCTAGTCTTGCATATGTTTATTTTCCTCCCTCCATCCTACAAAATCTGGTCAAATTTGACTTGCACGTAAAATGATAAAGTAAGAAATGTGTTGTTGATTTTTATGCGGGTGAGGGATAAATAATTTTAATCACACGTATATTACTTAAAATGTAAATTAAAAAGTTCTTTGGGACGTCTAAACTTATGGAAATTTGATAAATAAGGAAATTTGATAAAACTTTATGGAACGAAGCAAGTATGGTTTAAGTCTGTTCTCAATTGATCTGATTTATTTAAGTGTTATTTAATCTGATCTAGTTTATCTAGATTTGATCTCGTATGAAAATGATACACTCTAATATAAAAAAGACCTTAAGCTTGATGTGGTTTAATCTATTTAAAACTGATCTAATCTGATTCAACTGAAATCATTCTAAAACATGGAAAGAAATAATTGATTGAGCTACTTAGTAACTGAAATTGTTGCAGATTACTAATTAAATATGCTAATTCGAGTATATTTTGAGAAATAATTTTGACAAGTATATAATATAATAGGTTATTGATGATAACTGTGATTGTACAAATGTATTTTTTTAGTATTTGATGATTATATTGTCATTTAAGAGTGTTAATTGTTTTTTAAAATAAAAAGTGAGAACTTTTAAGTGGGACGTCCCAAAAAAGAAAATATGAACCTTTAAATGGAATAGTGAGAGTATTATTTTATCTACTTTACATATAATTCTTCTTCGATATATTAATAAAATATAATGGCCAAGTTTTGTAAAGTATTATGTTACATAGTACGTATAATTTTTTACAACTAACCGATTCAACCATTCCATGAAATTTTGTCATATCATTGCAAATTGGCCAAGTTTAATTAATGGGACGGGGGATAATTTCAATTTATTTCTTGTTTTGAGTACAATCTCGTATTCATTGTTGGATCGAGTTTTTACCGTACGTTCAGCTCAGCATTTAGTTAAATGGATAAATATACACGTTTTTTTAAACGGATAGATATACACTTTTAACATTTTAATTATTAGTAAGAAATTTAAAGATTACCTTTTCACAGTCAACCTCGTACACTATGTACGTCATTTGAGATCATAACATCCACATCGATCACTCGGAGTCGGGGGATGTGGGGCTGGAATTATATTTAAATAAAATGCTAAAGTATTTTTTTTTTTTTTTTTTTTTTTTTTTTATGCTAAAGTATTTATCAAAAAATTGATCAACCACGCACACTACCAGAGTTCTCTCTAGGGCTTCGACTATGTCGGCCGCTGGAGTCTTTTTCCGATTTTGACTTTGTCGAAGATCGGCTTTGCTATCCCTTGGTCGCTGGTGCTCGGCTGGAGTCCAGGTCAGACGCGGAGGGCGGAGATTGGTGGAGGAGGGCGGATTTGCTGTCATGGCTCGAGGAGATAGGCGTTGTGGTCAACGTTCGAGAATGCGACGTTGCTGTCGTCGTTGGAGAAGATCTGCGCCGCCTGTCCGTTTACTCTGGTCGCACGGAGCAGGGATGAATTTGGTTATGCAGGGACGGAGGATTGATGCATGGTCTTTGGCAGCCAAAGGTCATGGAGGATCAATTAGCATGGTACCGGTGGTACGACCTCCTCCTGAACCACCACCATGGGATGTACGAGGTGCTGGAGTTCGTGGAAGTTTTTCTTGTAGTTTTTATCTGTTTATTATTTGTTTTCTTGTGTCCTTTTTTGTTGTTGGTTTTGAAAGTTTGTTTGAGTTTTTTGTCTCTCTTTATGTCATTGGGTATGGTTGGATCTATGGGAACATGTTTAGCTGTGTCAAGCCCACTACATGGTTAGCGATTCGTGTTGTTCTTTCAGGGGTGACCGTCTCAAAATCTCACTATAGGGTTACAGTCGTAGTTGTTGGAGTTTCAGTTGGTGTCAATTTTATTTTCCCTTTACTTGATGTAATGATCCTGGATCTTTTGATATGAATAGAGGCCTGTTTTGAAGATTAAAAAAACTAGAAAATGGAAGCAAACAAGACTGGGACCCCAACTTTAAAATGTCTTCTTTTATTAAATTGCTATAGGTTTTTTTATTTATAAAAAAAATACTTCGTACCATTTTTTTTTATAACTTTTTGTCTTTTATATGACACTGATATCACATACGATAATATATAAAATAAAATAAATGTGAAGATACGATTCTGTGAGGTATTTGGGCTCACTTTTTTAAGTAGCTCGAAATTGTAAAATTGATATTTGATTGGTGTATAACATAGTTTCATTTTGCAATAGGAGGCATTTTATTTATTGGTTCAAAGTGTTCAATGAACAGACATTTATGAGTAAGTATCTTTAAGGAAGTTTTTATGGTTTGAGTACCGGATTAGAGTAAGACAGATCGAGTCAGACTTAAATAGACAAGATTAGACCATATCAGGTTTCAAATGTTGTAAAATACATATAAACTGGGCATTTATTAAATTAGATCAGATCAATTCAGGTCAGACTTAATTCAGGTCAGACTTATAAAACTGTTCAATATAGAAAAAACAATGTAGCATTTCATTATGAACAAAATTCACTAATATGACTTCTTGAAAAGTGCACAATGTTTATATCGTGTTAACTACATTTTGAATAAATTACACTTTTGGTCCTACGAGTTTTAGATCAATTCCATTTTAGTCCATATCTTTCACTTTGTCCACTTTTGATACATGACTATTGTGTTTTCGTCCATATATGGTCCTTCCGACATTGTTTCCGATGGTTAAAATCGCCGGAAAAAGGTTCGCAAACGGTTAAAAACATTAGTCAAGTATAGAAATGGACAAAGTGAAAGACGTGGATTAAAAGTGAAATTGGTACAAAACTCATATAACCTGTAATTAATTTTTACATTTCTGTTCAATTTTTTTTGAGAAACCTTTTTAGGTGATCCCATTTTCACAAAAATGAACACAAGAAAATTAAATCTAAATCTAGAAAAGGCCACGATACCGTACGGCTGAAATGCAGATAGAAGGTAGTGGAATATAAATTCCTGTGACAATGGTGACAAAGACAAGAACAGATAATCCCATCAACTCAAACGTCACCGTACCCAGGGAGTTTTGCTAAGCTACATCCCATTTTCTCTCCACCGGCGCCTGGATTCGGGATTCGAAGAATTTTGGTTCTGTTCACTTTAGAATTTAGACCTTAGGTTGCATGACCACTAGAGTCGTTTCAAATATTCCTCTTAATATATATCGAAATGTAAAGATTTTATGACCAATCACGTTTCAGATAACAGCTGAAACAAAAACAAAAAGAATTACAATGAGAGACCATTTAGTAACATTGTTTTTCGACTTATCAAATTTATCAGTCAACTTTTTCATCAAACACGTAACTTTTATTTTCCACGCTGAATTGGGTAAGAATAAGAAAAAGTAAGGTTAAAGTTACTTTTATAGCTGTATTGTTGCGTATAAGCATGCGAATAAGGGCAAAGAAATATCTTGTGTATTATCAAAGGAGTTTATGGTGTATTTATACATGTGTTGGCCGAAAATGTAAAACTCTTGGCCCAAAATCCCAAATACTATAAGCTAGGCTATGAATATAATAACAACTATACAAGCTCATAATATGGGTCTAACACCCCCCCTCAAGTTGGAGCATGGGGATTAAAGATGCCCAACTTGCTAAGTAGAAAAAGAAATTGGCGTTGTCCGAGAGCTTTGGTAAAAATATCCGCCAACTGCGTAGTGGTAGTGACATGTCGAGCTTCCAAGAGACCCGCCTGAAAAGCATCACGGATATAATGACAGTCAACTTCAATATGTTTCGTCCGTTCGTGAAAGACGGGATTATGAGCAATATGAAGTGCAGACCGACTATCACAAGACAGGGTCATGGGAGATGAATGTGTGATGCTGAAAGATTGAAGAAGCCCGTGGAGCCATTTTAGTTTTGCAGTGACAGCCGCCATGGAACGGTATTCAGCTTCAGTAGAGGAACGAGAAACTGTTTGTTGCTTCTTGATCTTCCAAGAAATAGGAGAGGCGCCAAGAAAAATAACCCATCCAGTTAACGAGCGGCGAGTGAGAACACAGCTCGCCCAGTCTGAATCACACCAGGCCTTGAGGTGCAAATCAGAGGAAGACGAAAGAATAATGCCTTGACCGGGTGAACCTTTGAGATAGCGGACAACCCGCAAGGCAGCATGCCAATGTTCCTGTCGTGGGGCCTGCATAAACTGAGACAAGATATGCACAAAATAAGCCAGGTCGGGACGAGTAAAAGAGAGATAAATAAGCTTGCCCACAAGACGCCTATAGGACTCCGGGTCGGTCAATAAATCGTCGGTAGCCAATGCAAGGGAGTGATTTGGTTCCATGGGACAGGAGGATGGTTTAGCACCGAGCAGACCAGCCTCAGAAATAATATCCAAAGTGTATTTGCGCTGACAAAGAAATAACCCGTCCGGACTACGAGCCACTTCTATGCCTAGAAAGTATTTAAGAGGACCCAAATCCTTCATATGAAAACATGTATGCAGATACTCCTTGAACCGAGTGAGAGCAAAGGAGTTGTTTCCAGCAATAATTAAATCATCAACATAGATTAAAATATGCAAACACACAATGCCCCGTTGGTATGTAAACAAAGAATAGTCAGATTTGGATTGAGAAAATCCGTACGTTCGTAACGCAGCAGTCAACTTAGCAAACCAACATCGGGGTGCCTAGCGCAGACCATATAATGATTTCTTCAACTGACAAACTAGAGTGGGCCGAGAAGGATGAAACCCAGGTGGAGGTTTCATGTAAACCTCATCACCTAAGTCACCATGAAGGAAGGCATTATGCACATCCATCTGATGAACCTCCCAATTTTTAGCAGCAGCAACAGCTAGAAAAACACGAACAGTGACCATTTTGGCCACGGGTGCAAAGGTTTCAGTGTAGTCAATACCTTCTTTTTGATGATTACCAAGCACGACGAGCCGAGCTTTAAGGCGTTCTACCGTCCCGTCATAATGATATTTTATTTTATACACCCGCCCACTTGCAGCCAAGAGCCCGTTTTCCCGGAGGAAGTGGAACCATATCCCATGTTTTATTATTTTCAAGAGCTTGTATCTCTTGTTGCATCGCCGTACGCCAACCATGTAACACCGTCCCCAAATATATTTACTTTTATGTAAATAATGTATTGAACCTTCTTAAAGAATTAATGAATTTACGAAGTTGTAAATTTTTATTATTTCTTTCGCGTGAATAGTAAATTGCACGTGGGACCCACACCGGGAGCGGGGACCGCCCGACACTCCCGAGACCACATATTTTATTCATCTTAGTCAAGATAATATTTATATAGTGGTGGATATTTTATTTGGGTCGTGGAAAGGCGCAGAGTTGACCGATTGGGAAAAAGAGGTCCAATTACCGGTACCGATAATTTGTCAGATAACAGCCCGAACTGAATTTCGGAGGCTTATAAATTAAAGTTGGGGGATGTATATTCATTATACATGTAATAATGAGTAAGAGCACATAATATATTTTATTTGACCCGATAAAATAAAATATATTTAAAACAGTCCGAAAAATACAACTTTCGGGACCAATTGTACACACCGGGACACAAAGGGATGACCTCCCACATGAGTGGGGGCCACCCCACGTTTTTGTGTGCTCAAATTGACCAAAGGAAGGCCAATAGTACACATGATGGGAGGGTGAGACATTGAGAGACACCCAAGGGGTCCCTCTCTCACTTATTAGCTAAATGAGACAAAAACAACCCATCCCCCCTCCTTCCTCCTCATTGTGCTCGCCCAAGACCCCAAGAAAGAGGAAGAAAAAGCTCTCCAACCCTCCTCCATTGCTGCAACTCGAGCTCAACCAAGAAGGGTCCAAGGAGTGGGATTAAAGAAGGAAAAAGGCTAGGAAAAGTGTGTAAAATTAAGGTAATAACCTTATTATAACTTTTCCTTTATTTTCCTTCTATCATATGAGGTATATATCATGTAAAGGACCCTTAGTATGATTCCACATGTTATAAGTATGGATTTATGGGTTGGAAGGTGGTTCTATGTCCAAGAACGGACTTAGAAGCCAAAACGACCGGTTCACCGGAAAATAACCTTTTTGAGGTTATTGGTATTAACATGGGTTTTATGATTATAAAACCTTGTTAGGAACTTGTAAAGGGTGTTTCAAGTGATTTCACAAAGTTGGAAAAGTCGCCGGAATTGTCGCCGGAGTTGACCAAAAGTCGCCGGAGTTTCACCGGAGTTCAACCAAGAAGGGTAGAACTTCATACGCTAGTTCAAGGTGAGTGGACGGCTTAATATCTTATAACTTTTGGGTCAATTATGAGATTACCTAAATAAATGTTATATGAATTCATAATAATGTTTAAAAGATATTTAAACATGTGATTAGCCAATAGGGTTAAGCTTTGTATGAAAGGAATTAATTATTTATGCATGGAATATAATATGAGAAATTATATATATATATATATGCATATTTGCTTTAAGAGTAAAAGAAGCACAAATGGATATTATTAACTTAATTATATGATGAATTAGTTAATAAGTGTAAGATTTGAGATGGCGGTCGACAACAACGTTGACCGATGGTTAATGGATTAATTAATATCGGTTGATGTTAGTTAATTATACATTTATATGGTTGCATGGATTTGCATGGATTGTGATGCATAAGCCTTATGTAGTGAATTAGTTATGAATGACTAAATATGATATAGACCCTATCTAGCGTGATATGTGGTAAGTCATAGGTCGGGTGGAGTACCCAAGGATCGGGCGGTTATCCTCAAAACTCGGTTATATAGGGTGGAGTACCCAAGGATCGGGCGGTATCCTCAAAACTCGGTTATATAGGGTGGAGTACCCAAGGATCGGGCGGTATCCTCAAAACTCGGTTATAGGGTGGAGTACCCAAGGATCGGGCGTGTATCCTCAAAACTCATAGATTACATTTAATGATCTAGGACCGGGCGGTGTCCTTATGATAATTTATTTGAACAGGGAGGAGTTCTATACACTCATAGGTATATGGGTGGGTTGGGATTTAAGTCAAGGACATTGGCTATTATTATTTTCCCAAATAAACAATGACCTACGGGTCGGGTATTTCCAAGTGTATGTATACTAATATGTATTTCAAACTTGGGGGAAGGACTATACGTATATGTATCATCCTATGTTTGGGTCTTATACTTGAAACGCTAGTTATTCTATATTTAGCCTGCTACTCGCTCGGTACTTGTACTGACCCCTTCGGGGGGCCCCACCATTTTCAGGTTGAAGCTAGGGCTTGCTACCTGCACCTTTTTACGGGTGACATCAAATCAAGGAAGACGTGGTTCGTGCTTCCTCATTTTATTTCAAATTTCCAAACATTGCTCATGGATATTTTTATCTGTTATAAACTATTCTTTTGGGGCTTGCATGCCCATGTTATTGGCCGGTTGTGGCTTATGACTTACCGTTGAATATTTCCGCTATTCATTGGTTTAAATGTGATGTTGTTATGTATGTTTACTACTGAGTATGGATGGATTATTTTTCTCGAACGCCTTGTTTAATCAAGTGAGGTTGACTCGCGGGTGACGTCACTTGATTATACGGCGGTTGTACACGCGCTTGGATTGCGGTCTGGGGCGTGACAATTAAGCAACTGGAGCAAGAGTTCAGGACTTTGGCTAGGTTCTTACCGGAGTATGCGATCAATGAGGACCGCATGACTGAGCACTTCTGGGATGCCTTACTCTTGGACATCCGAGACCGTGCCACGTATTCCCGCCTCATGACCTTTAGTGAGGTGGTAGAACAGGGCATGCTTGGAGAGGCCCAGTGGAATGAGAGGAAGGCAAGGGACGCCGAAGAGGCGAAGAAGAGGAAGTGGAATAATTCGGGGCCACCCGATCATTCTCGAAGGAACAACCACGGGGGTGGTGGTGGTGGCGGTGGTTCATTCAAGGCGCCGGCTCCACCGGCGAAGAAGAATAGGGATGCGAGGTGGCACGGACCTAGGCCACAGAACTCGGGGCCACCTAGATGTCCCAATTGCTCAAAACAACACTTTGGGAAGTGCAATGAACCACCGAGGTGTTTTAAGTGCGGGAATGCGGGCCATATGAAGGCCAATTGCCCTCAGTTGATGCAAGAGAGTGCCTCGGGAGCTGGGGGAGGGACCATGACGGGAAGAAACCGTGCGGGCCCGTCAAACGGCGGTACGGGAAGAGGCAACGCATCCACAAGTCATGCCGCGTCCGTAAACCAAGGCGGGACCCAAGCACGAGTCTACGCGATGACCGAGGCGGATGCGAGAGCAAACCCGGACTCCGTTGCAGGTAATACGCGTATTCCCATGTATTTCTAGGTTTACTTTGATCATATACGTCGTTGGGATTGAGTGCGGGCCACCCCGGGGTCGAACCGGGTGAGTTAGGCCGAATCGGGCTGGAAACAGCCACTGCTGGCCAGGCACGCTCGCAGGCACGCCGTGCCTGGAATCGTGCCTGGAAGGCAGTGGCACCCGAAGGAAGAAAAAAAAAAAAAAAAAAAAAAAAAAAAATTTGGCCAGGCACGGCCGCAGGCACGCCGTGCCTGGCGTCGTGCCTGGAAGTCAGTGGCGTCCGAAAAAATTTTTGGCCAGGCACGGCCGCAGGCACGCCGTGCCTGGCGTCGTGCCTGGAAGTCAGTGGCGTCCGAAAAAATTTTTGGCCAGGCACGGCCGCAGGCACGCCGTGCCTGGCGTCGTGCCTGGAAGTCAGTGGCGTCCGAAAAAAATTTTGGCCAGGCACGGCCGCAGGCACGCCGTGCCTGGCGTCGTGCCTGGAAGTCAGTGGCGTCCGAAGAATTTTTGGCCAGGCACGGCCGCAGGCACGCCGTGCCTGGCGTCGTGCCTGGAAGTCAGTGGCGTCCGAAGAAATTTTGGCCAGGCACGGCCGCAGGCACGCCGTGCCTGGCATCGTGCCTGGCCGGCAGTAGCCAGCAGGGTGAGTTTGTTGCACGCACGGCCGTGCCTGCCACCCAGGCACGCCGTGCGTGGACCCCCAACACCCGAAAGTTGATTTTTTGCCCCGTTCTTCTACGTTTGGACCCCCGTTTGGTTCCAAACATTTGTATAAACCTAATAACATCCTAATGACGTGTAAAAACATTAGAAAATGTATCTTACATGGTGTATAAATGTAGGAACATTAAAGATCAATGGTAGATGTGCGAGGATCCTCATCGATACCGGGGCACAACGCTCATTTGTGAGTGAGGCGTTCGCCGAGGGCTTTGACGTGCCATTGACACCTATGACTCAAACGTTGCTAGTCTCCACACCGTTAGGAGACGACGTGGAGAGAAATCATTACTATCCGTCGTGTGAGGTAGAAGTGACGGGTCAACCTTTGACTTGTGATTTCGTACCTCTAAGCATGTTGGAGTTCGATGCAATCCTAGGGATGGATTGGCTCGAGAAACACCATGCCCGGGTAGATTGCTACACCAAGGTGTTGGAGCTCGAGGATGATCAAGGGAACACGCTATGTTTCGAGGGAGATCGGGGGAAATCTAATGCTTGTATCATATCCGTGATGAGAGCACGAAAGATGATGAGGAAGGGATGTCACGCATACCTTGCTTATGTGGTAGATGATACGAAGAAAGAAGTCGACATCAAGGATGTACGAGTCGTGTGCAAGTACCCGGATGTCTTTCCCAAAGACCTACCGGGGCTTCCACCCGATAGAGAGATTGAATTTGTAATTGAAGTGGAGCCGGGAACCAAACCCATTTCGATTCCTCCTTATCGAATGGCACCGGCCGAACTTCAAGAGTTGAAGGTCCAACTACAAGAATTATTGGACAACGGATTCATCAGACCCAGTCATTCACCGTGGGGGGCACCCGTACTCTTCGTGAAGAAGAAGGATGGTACACTAAGAATGTGTATTGACTACCGACAATTGAACAAGGTCACAATCAAGAACAGGTATCCCTTACCGAGGATTGATGACTTGTTTGACCAACTTCGGGGGGCAATAGTGTTCTCGAAGATTGATTTGAGGTCGGGGTATCATCAGTTGAAGATCAAGGAGAGCGACATACCTAAGAGTGCATTCCGCACTAGGTATGGTCATTATGAGTTCCTTGTAATGTCATTCGGGTTAACCAACGCACCGGCGGCATTCATGGACTTGATGAACCGAGTGTTTAGTGAATACTTGGATCAATTTGTGATAGTATTCATTGATGACATCTTGATATACTCCAAGAACGAGGAGGAGCATGAACATCACCTGAGGCTTGTACTTGAACGACTTAGAGAAAAACAACTCTTTGCCAAGTTCTCCAAATGTGAATTTTGGCTCAAAGAGATTGGCTTTCTCGGGCATGTCATATCAGGTTCGGGCGTTGCTGTGGACAACGCCAAGATAAGAGCCATCATCGACTGGGAGAGACCCAAGAATGTGAAAGAAATACGTAGTTTCCTTGGCTTAGCGGGGTACTATCGTAAGTTCGTTGAGAAATTCTCTGTATTGGCGTCTCCATTGACGAAGCTCACCAAGAAGGGGGCTAAGTTCATATGGGATGACAAATGTGAGAAAGGGTTTCTTGAATTGAAGAAGCGACTTACCGAGGCACCAGTTCTTGCCCTACCCAAGCAGGGGATAGGGTATGATATCTATAGCGATGCTAGCATCCAAGGGCTAGGATGTGTGTTGATGCAAAACGGAAAGGTGATAGCCTACGCTTCTAGGCAATTGAGGAAACACGAGGTGAACTACCCTACTCACGATCTAGAGTTGGGGGCGGTAGTGTTTGCATTGAAGATTTGGAGGCATTATCTCTACGGGGAGACGTGTCACATTTATACTGATCATAAGAGCTTGAAGTATGTATTCACTCAGAAAGAGTTGAATATGAGGCAGAGGAGATGGATGGAGTTGATCAAGGACTATGACTTGATCATCGACTATCATCCCGGAAAGGCCAATGTAGTGGCCGACGCGCTGAGCAGAAAGAGTACGTCGGGGACGCTACTCACATGTCTACAGGCATTGAGGGCACACGTGGGGGTATCCACGAGCGGGGCGCTCATTGCTAGGTTTGAGGTCAGACCTACATTGCTGGGTGAGATCAGTAGATGCCAGGCCATTGACGAGGAGTGTCAGAAGATTCGTGAACGAATCATTGAGGGGCCTGTTGAGAACTTTCGAGTACGCGATGACGGTCTATTATTGTTTAAGGATCGTGTGTGCATACCCAAGAATGAAGACCTCCAGAAGTCTATACTTGAGGAGGCTCATTCTTCAGCTTATGTTATGCATCCAGGAGGTACAAAAATGTACCGAGATTTGAAGGAAGGTTACTGGTGGTCAGGTATGAAGAGAGACATCGCAGAGTATGTGAGTCGATGCCTTACTTGCCAACAAGTTAAGGCAGAGCATCAGCACCCGGCAGGGCTTTTGCAACCACTTACTATCCCAGAGTGGAAGTGGGAACACGTAACGATGGACTTCGTGGTGGGGCTACCACGAACAGTGAACAACTACGATGCAGTATGGGTAGTGGTCGATAGGCTCACCAAGAGTGCACACTTTCTGCCTATCAACATTACTTATCCTCTTGAAAGATTGGCCAAGCTATACACGGAGGAGATTGTGAGATTACATGGAGTCCCAGTATCCATTGTCTCGGATAGGGATCCACGATTCACATCCCGGTTTTGGCCAAAGTTTCAAGCATCTTTGGGGACCAAACTGAAGTTTAGCACAGCTTTTCACCCACAAACGGATGGACAGTCCGAGCGGGTGATACAGATTTTGGAAGACATGCTTAGGGCATGTGCTTTGGAGTTCCAAGGAAGTTGGGACAAACATTTAGCCCTAGTGGAGTTTGCCTATAACAACAGTTATCAGGCAAGTATCGGCATGCCTCCATATGAGGCATTGTATGGGAGGAAGTGCAGAACACCGTTGTGTTGGGACGAGGTTGGCGAGGCCAAACTCGAAGGGATAGAGCTGGTTGAGATCACCAAGGCCAAGGTGAGGATCATTCGGGATAGACTGAAGGCCGCTCAGGACCGACAGAAGAGTTATGCTGATAAACGGCGGAGACCGTTGGAGTTCGAAGTCGGTGATGAGGTCTTCCTAAGGATTTCTCCTTGGAAGGGCATCATCCGATTCGTATCGAGGGGGAAACTTAACCCCCGATACATAGGTCCGTTTGAGATCCTTGAAAGGATCGGAGCCGTGGCTTACCGACTCAAGTTGACGCCTGAACTTGAGAAGATACATGACGTGTTTCATGTATCAATGCTCAAGAAGTACATACGAGACCCGTCTCATATTCTTGAGAAACCACCGGTAGAGATCCGTGAGGACTTGCAATATGCGGTGGAACCAGTGAAGATTGTTGGTCAACAAGTGAAGAAGCTTAGGAATAAAGAGATTCCTATGGTAAAGGTTCTTTGGAGGAGTGATCGAGTCGAAGAAGAAACTTGGGAGACCGAGGTCTCGATGAGGGAGCAATACCCATTTCTTTTCGATTAATACTTGGATTTCGGGGACGAAATCCCAAATAAGGGGGGGGTGAACTTGTAACACCGTCCCCAAATATATTTACTTTTATGTAAATAATGTATTGAACCTTCTTAAAGAATTAATGAATTTACGAAGTTGTAAATTTTTATTATTTCTTTCGCGTGAATAGTAAATTGCACGTGGGACCCACACCGGGAGCGGGGACCGCCCGACACTCCCGAGACCACATATTTTATTCATCTTAGTCAAGATAATATTTATATAGTGGTGGATATTTTATTTGGGTCGTGGAAAGGCGCAGAGTTGACCGATTGGGAAAAAGAGGTCCAATTACCGGTACCGATAATTTGTCAGATAACAGCCCGAACTGAATTTCGGAGGCTTATAAATTAAAGTTTGGGGATGTATATTCATTATACATGTAATAATGAGTAAGAGCACATAATATATTTTATTTGACCCGATAAAATAAAATATATTTAAAACAGTCCGAAAAATACAACTTTCGGGACCAATTGTACACACCGGGACACAAAGGGATGACCTCCCACATGAGTGGGGGCCACCCCACGTTTTTGTGTGCTCAAATTGACCAAAGGAAGGCCAATAGTACACATGATGGGAGGGTGAGACATTGAGAGACACCCAAGGGGTCCCTCTCTCACTTATTAGCTAAATGAGACAAAAACAACCCATCCCCCCTCCTTCCTCCTCATTGTGCTCGCCCAAGACCCCAAGAAAGAGGAAGAAAAAGCTCTCCAACCCTCCTCCATTGCTGCAACTCGAGCTCAACCAAGAAGGGTCCAAGGAGTGGGATTAAAGAAGGAAAAAGGCTAGGAAAAGTGTGTAAAATTAAGGTAATAACCTTATTATAACTTTTCCTTTATTTTCCTTCTATCATATGAGGTATATATCATGTAAAGGACCCTTAGTATGATTCCACATGTTATAATTATGGATTTATGGGTTGGAAGGTGGTTCTATGTCCAAGAACGGACTTAGAAGCCAAAACGACCGGTTCACCGGAAAATAACCTTTTTGAGGTTATTGGTATTAACATGGGTTTTATGATTATAAAACCTTGTTAGGAACTTGTAAAGGGTGTTTCAAGTGATTTCACAAAGTTGGAAAAGTCGCCGGAATTGTCGCCGGAGTTGACCAAAAGTCGCCGGAGTTTCACCGGAGTTCAACCAAGAAGGGTAGAACTTCATACGCTAGTTCAAGGTGAGTGGACGGCTTAATATCTTATAACTTTTGGGTCAATTATGAGATTACCTAAATAAATGTTATATGAATTCATAATAATGTTTAAAAGATATTTAAACATGTGATTAGCCAATAGGGTTAAGCTTTGTATGAAAGGAATTAATTATTTATGCATGGAATATAATATGAGAAATTATATATATATATATGCATATTTGCTTTAAGAGTAAAAGAAGCACAAATGGATATTATTAACTTAATTATATGATGAATTAGTTAATAAGTGTAAGATTTGAGATGGCGGTCGACAACAACGTTGACCGATGGTTAATGGATTAATTAATATCGGTTGATGTTAGTTAATTATACATTTATATGGTTGCATGGATTTGCATGGATTGTGATGCATAAGCCTTATGTAGTGAATTAGTTATGAATGACTAAATATGATATAGACCCTATCTAGCGTGATATGTGGTAAGTCATAGGTCGGGTGGAGTACCCAAGGATCGGGCGGTTATCCTCAAAACTCGGTTATATAGGGTGGAGTACCCAAGGATCGGGCGGTATCCTCAAAACTCGGTTATATAGGGTGGAGTACCCAAGGATCGGGCGGTATCCTCAAAACTCGGTTATAGGGTGGAGTACCCAAGGATCGGGCGTGTATCCTCAAAACTCATAGATTACATTTAATGATCTAGGACCGGGCGGTGTCCTTATGATAATTTATTTGAACAGGGAGGAGTTCTATACACTCATAGGTATATGGGTGGGTTGGGATTTAAGTCAAGGACATTGGCTATTATTATTTTCCCAAATAAACAATGACCTACGGGTCGGGTATTTCCAAGTGTATGTATACTAATATGTATTTCAAACTTGGGGGAAGGACTATACGTATATGTATCATCCTATGTTTGGGTCTTATACTTGAAACGCTAGTTATTCTATATTTAGCCTGCTACTCGCTCGGTACTTGTACTGACCCCTTCGGGGGGCCCCACCATTTTCAGGTTGAAGCTAGGGCTTGCTACCTGCACCTTTTTACGGGTGACATCAAATCAAGGAAGACGTGGTTCGTGCTTCCTCATTTTATTTCAAATTTCCAAACATTGCTCATGGATATTTTTATCTGTTATAAACTATTCTTTTGGGGCTTGCATGCCCATGTTATTGGCCGGTTGTGGCTTATGACTTACCGTTGAATATTTCCGCTATTCATTGGTTTAAATGTGATGTTGTTATGTATGTTTACTACTGAGTATGGATGGATTATTTTTCTCGAACGCCTTGTGTAATCAAGTGAGGTTGACTCGCGGGTGACGTCACTTGATTATACGGCGGTTGTACACGCGCTTGGATTGCGGTCTGGGGCGTGACAAACCAGGATCTGACATGGCTTCACGAAAAGAAGTAGGCTCTTGTCCTGCAAGAACAGCTCCAAGGAACATACAATGGCGAAAAGAGAATTTTTCACAATTTAAATAATGTGCTAAAGGATAACGCGTACCTGAGGAACTGAGAGAAGCAGATGATGGCGAAGATGGGCTTAATTCCCGTACGTGATGAGTGACAAAATCCCGCAATAAAACCGAGGAACGTTTGGAGCGTAGACCACGTCCCAGTGGCTGAGAAGCTGCATGCATGGTGTCGGCATGGATGTCCGTAGCTGCATGGGTGTTTGTTCCTGCATGTGAAGCATCGACATGCATGGTGTCATCGGCTGCCATGTCATCCTCGGTGGCTGCTGGCACGATCGGGTCATCATGTATAAGCTCGGGGGGAGCAGGTTCAATAGTCGGAGCAGCCACCTGTTGTTCAAAGGGAAAGATGTCCTCATGAAATAACACATCCCGAGAAACAAAAATAGCACCGGAGTCTAAATCATAGAGCTTCCATCCCTTCTTCCTGGAAGGATAACCAACAAAGACACATTTCCGACTGCGAGGGGTAAATTTATCACCACGAGACTTAAGATTATGGGCAAAGCATAAGCACCCAAATACCTTCAGGTGATCAAAATCCGGAACATGGCCAGTAAGAATTTCAAACGGTGTTTTGCCCCCCAATAAACCAGAAGGAGTTCGATTAATGACATAAACAACCGCTAAGATGCATTCACCCCACAAGAATAGAGGGATAGAAGCCTGAAACATCAATGCGCGGGCCACATTCAAAATGTGATGATGTTTGCGTTCAACTCTGCCATTCTATTGAGGTGTCTCAACACAGGATGTTTGAAAAAAATGCCATGAGTATCAAAATAGGGTAACATACACAGGAATTCGGTCCCATTGTCACTACGCACAGTTTTCACAGAGTGCTCAAATTGCTTTTCAACCATGGTGATAAAGGACACAAAGTAATGAAAAACTTTCTTTTTATCACGTAATAAATACACCCACATAGCCCGGGAAAAATCATCAACTAATGTCAAAAAATACACGGCGTCACAAGTAGAAGGAGTTTTATAAGGACCCCATAAATCTAGAGATGACAATTGTGACCGATCCAATGGATACCCGCACCGAACCGCCCCGGTCAAAACCCTCTGAGTCTAAACTCATATAGGTTATGTCATTTTTCGCCCTTTAAAATACAAAATATTATTTTTATATTAAAATATCAATGACTCATATAATAAAGTGATTACCCGCGGGTACCCGCGGTTATACCCGTTACCCGTTGGGGCGGATATGGTTTGGGTAAAAATTACCCGTTGGGTAATGGGGCGGTTATGGGGCGGGGAATTATCAAATGGGGAGGGTACGATTATATGTAAAACCATCCCCGAACCGCCCCGTTGCCATCCCTTGATAAATCACAGTGTATCAATTCCAGAATACGACAAGCTTTATGATCACTAGTAGGAAAAAATCACGAACTTGTTTGGCCTGCGGACACACCTCACAGGGTTTATTTAATGCTTTCTTAGAGTAACTAGCAACAATATGAGGTAAAAATTTAAGTACTCGATCTAAAGGATGCCCCAATCTACGATGCCACAACTCAAAGTCTGACAGAACCGACTTGTGAACCGTATGCACCACTGGAACTCCTCGGAAAAAATAAAGCCCATCTTGCCTTTCACCAGCTCCAATTAGGTTCCTCGAGCGTGGGTCCTGAATGGCACAAAATAAATTAGTGAAAGTTATGGTGCAAGCAAATTGATCAATCAATTGAGAAATAGATATCAAGTGGCAATTCAATCCGGGCACATAAAGCACATGATCAAGTGCTACAATCTGGGAAAGATGCACTCTTCCCTTTACCACTGCCGCCACGGTCCTTCCATCGGGCAGTCCAACGGACACGGCCGAATATGGTTACGGTTTGTAAGACAATTTAATTCACCTGTCACGTGATGAGACGCCCCAGTATCAAGTATCCAAGGTAAAGAATTATGTATACCTGACATACGGTCACACGAACTAGCGACAATATTAATCAAATTCAAAAGCGCCCGAACCTGCTCTTTACTTAATTCGTTCAGCCCGTTGACCGCACCCCTGGAAGAAGAAGACTCGCTGCCTCCCGCGGGCAGCAGTGTGGGAGAGATGGCGTGAGTGCGCACCCCCCCCCCACGCCCACCAGTGCCATCGCGATCTCAAACTTTGGTGGAGAGCTTTTGAATCAAACTTGTCAAAGTATCCACCCTTGCCGAAAGGGCAGAATTGTGGCTGATCTCGTAAAGGCCCAGAGCTTTCTGGTGAGGTGTATCCCGAGAGCTGTACCAAGATGCATTGTTTGCAACAATCTTCTCAACTAATGCTTCTCCATCCTTAGACGGTAAATGAGGAAAAGCTCCATTCACAGAGGCATCAAACATCATCTTCCCTTCATTGTTGAGCGCGCTATAGAAGAATGATAGAACCTCACAGTCACTCATTTTGCTTTGTTGGCAAGCTCTTCTCAATGACTTGAATCTCTTTCATGCTTCAGCCAATGTCTCCAGAGATCCTTGCTTGAACTCTTACAACTGCTTCTTCAACTTTAGTGCCTTTGACTTCGGGAAATACTCTTTGATGAAGGCACTATGCAGCTGGTCCCAAGTCTAAATATGGTGATGAGGATTGTTGTCCAGCCATCTCTGCGCGTCGTCCCTCAATGAGAAAGGGAAAAGTAGCATCCGCACCTGATCGTCATCTACTACAGGGATCTTTAAAGTCTAGCACATCCTCAGAAATCGGGTAATGTGCGCCACTGGATCTTCGGTCGGGCCTCCTCCAAACTGATTGTTAGACACCATGCTAATTACCGCTGACTTGATCTCATAGCGGTTTGCACTAATTCCTGGCACTTGGATGTTGTCATATTCTGAAATCTCGGGATTAAGGAAGTCTGCAATTGTCTGTCCCTGGTAGAGCGGGTTGTCATGCGGGACATAATCTTGAAAATGAGGGGCCTGTTGTCTATGCTGGAAAGCTGGTTGTGGCCAAACAGGTTGTGGTCGAACAAATTGTGGTTGCGGTTGGGGCTGTACTTGGGGCTGACGGTACTAGTTCTGATTCTGGAGAGGATTTTGAAAAGGCTGATTTTGTGGCTGAGTTTGGAATGGATTTTGGGTGACTAGGGGTGAAGTCTGTCTCGGTTGAAAAACCAGAATGCTTTGCCCTATGCCTTGCATCCCATATGTTGGGTTCTGAAAAGTTGTTTCGGAAGCAGTAGAGGCATTTTGAAAGAGCTGGAATAAACGGGGAAGATTTATTTGTGAAGTGGACTGATTTTGGAGAAAAGTGGTGGAGTACGAAAATTTTGAAATCCAGGGGATTTCTAGGTGAAATTGATGGTGAAGACTGGGGTGAGGTATTGACGAGAAGTCAAGATTACCCGAAGTGGTTTGGACCTCATACGTCCCAACTGTTCCAGATGAAGATGGTTCCATGATTGCGTTCTTTTCTCTTAACGCCTTGCGGATGTGTCTAGCGAGCTGCTCAATCTCAGGATTAAGAGGGACTAGCGGTTCTCCCTTCTTTGAACGGGTATGCATAAACAGATTTGACCTTCAAGGTTAGTAGACAAAAATCCTACGATCATGCCTGGCTATCCAGGGAGCCGGTACACTTTTATAATGCATGCACGACCATGCCTAAGGGCCGGGCACGACGTGGCTGCCATTCCAGCGGCTCGGAACATTCTCCCTCTATAGGCACGACCGTGCCTAAGGCTGGGCACGGCCGTGCCTTGCCTTTTCTTCATCGTTTCTCTTCTTTTCTCGCCCCAAATGCTCCTGAATGATTCCTTGATCAATCCAGAGGCCTTTTTAAACCCAAAATTTTCCTAAATAGATTCAAGTGCTTAAATTAAGATCTCGTAGTTTTTATTACATATTTTAATTTTTACTGTGTTAAATAGGTCTTAAGAAACAATAAAAAATTAAACTCCAAATTTATTTAGTTTTACATCGAAATGTTTGACTTTCTAAATCATAATAATTTGAAAAAAAAAAGATTTTAAAAAAAATTGATGCATAATGATAAAAGTAATGCTTTAATTAAGAAAAAATTGTAATGAGTGAATATATTGATGGTGCTGGATTGCAGAAAAAATTGAATTGACTGAGTGAATACGTATAAAATGGTGGGAAATTTGATTTATTGACGGAGTTGGGTTGCGGTTAGCCTAAGTAAATAGAATCAAACTTCGTTGACCAATAAAAAGTACACTTTTCAAGAAAGAATTTTTGGATAGAGGGAATATAATTTTGGAGAGCATTGTTTAACCATGGCCGTCCTTGCATTGAGTCGTCCAACAAGTGACTTGTGCAAATATATGGGGGAAATGAAATACTACATTGGTTCAATTTTATGTGTCATACTTTGGTTTGGCGCAACTATTAATAAAGTAGTTGAAAAGGTAAAAATTGTGATCTATATAGCATGAAATTTTTGGGAAAGAGTATGTTTCCGTTTTCGGAAATCTTCGAAAACTTTCAAAATTGTTGTTTTTCTAAGAAATATATGTTGTTTCCCATTTTTGTTTCCCCATGGTTCCCGCATCTCCATGCAACATAGGTTGTGATTGATATTTGAATAAAATAAAGACAAATGTTGTAGACCACATATTTCTTTTCAAAAAAAGAAATGTTATATTGGGACAACTCAAGAAGAAAGGTAAGATAGGTAAAATGGAACGAAAGGAGTAGTTTTTAAATAAATTTCTCAAAATAAGAGTAAAACTAATTAATGGGATACACTTCCACCGGATCACTGAAGCATTATATTTCTCTCTGAACAAGAGTAAAATATTATCATCTTTAAATCATGTTGTCATACTATAACATAATCATAAATAAAAAGATGTCAATATAATCATTCTCAATATGGCAGTGTAGTTTGAGGCCGGAAATACTCGCTGTTAATTGGATAAATATAATAAAAAATACTA